TGATAACTATCAAAACGCCTGCCATTTGAAATAAATAAATAAATTATTTATAATTTGAGACAATAAGAAATGAAGCATTTTAGTGAGGAGATATAAATTGGTTTCAGCAATCGAAGTAGCTGAATTCTTCTAAATTTTCAGACTTTATATCCAACCTCCAAGTGCTCAACCTCTTTTCACAATATTTTCGAAATTTTACTTTTACTCGTGAATTGATGATCCCCAACAATTAAAATCTCAATATTTTAGTGTTGTTGTAAAGAATTTTTGTATATTAATATCAAGCAGCCGAAGAGCATTACGAGCAATAAGAAATAATATTTAAAAATTAAACGCAATTAAGGAGATATTTAGGTATAAAAACACTAAACCTAACAATGAATTAGCTTGCAAGCATAATTATTTTTATAAAATTATCCGAGTTGCGATAATTTTACTGGCTTAAAATGTCAGTATACATGAATATATGGGACATATTATCTCCAGTTTCTTTTGGGCCAAATTTCGCCATGTCTTGTAAAAAATATATATCTAAGTATATTATCATTTTAAAAAATTTTCGGAAGTACTTGGATATATTGAAACTTCCTGCAGTCTGGACAACTTTTCAAATAAAATCTTTACCAAACGTTTACCAAACGATTTTAATGACCCTTCTAAAGGATTCATTGACTTTACTGGGTCATAGCTCTTTTCCCACTTTCGAAGACATTTATCCATTTTTAGCAAAAAATACTTGCTGTTATTATTGCGCATTATTTGCTACTAGATTACAATTTTTTCCTTTGTTTCTAAGGCAAATATCCACCTCCATATCCCTACTCTCAATGCGTTTCTTAGACCCTATATACAGCCAACTGTTTTTGTTTGGGTTTGAGAAAGGGGGAGAGATCTCTTCGTCCCAAAAAAGTCGTTACATTTGATTTAGTGTGATATTCTTAATGAAAATGTTTGAGCCGCCTTCGTATAACTGTATTTTAAATTCGGGGCTTGAAAGGTGAGAGCTGGTTTCACTTGAATTAGATTGATTTCCATTCTGTGCTTGCAAGCAAACATCGCTGCATATATATACTAGGGTATGCCCAGTTATCAATGACAGAAAAGGTGAAAGCAAAAAGCTTAATTTTGCTTGAGAATCGGCCAAAAGAAGAGAGAGAAAAATGAAGTGGACTCACTGTGATGCCTGGTTCCCATATTTTGTAGCTCGTTGGTGCCTATACTGTACCAAACGCAAGCAAACCAATGTGCCAGTAGAAAAAATATGCACATCAGAATGCCCAAGACGACTGCACTGTATTGCGAGTAGCGCTCAATCTTTTGAACCAATCTCGCTAGTCGCAGCAATCGGGCCAACTTCATAAGATGCATCCACGTTGCCTACAGGGAGAGAGGAGATGAATAATGAGCGTAGTTTAATTGGTGATGAAGAGAGACGAACACTCTAATATTTGAATAGCTCTAAGTATATTTTTAAGCTCAAACTCTCGTATTCGTCATGATGACTATCCTCATCACGCATATTTACGATGACTTTATTAAATAATGCTGATTGGGTTTTACGGATATATCGTTTTTAAGGATAAAATATATCGGTTATATATTTACGAAGACTTTAATCGAAACGGCCGAATATGGTGTCGGTGGAATTTAATTGGTGAAATTATATGAATACCAATATTCAGTAAAGGTAAAAATTAATCTTTTAGTTTCAATGGTGAACATATAAACCATTTAATAAGAAGAATGATGCTAAACGCGTTAAAATATTCGGGCGATTCTAAATTTCACCTAAAACAAATCAATACCCATCTGTTTTCAAGTAACCTCATTTATGAAACCCCAGGTAGTGTAACCAAAATACTTCTTGTTGTCAAAAAATAATCAGAAAAATTATGACCTAAATTACTTAAATTTTGAAGATACGAGTTTGGATTTGGCTGTCAATATCATGACCCACTAATTCATAATAACCCTTTAATCAATTAAACCCAAAAGTAATAATCAAATCAAAATTGTATCTTCAGCTTATTTAATTTGAACTGGTCTATCAGAGATTTATTACTTTGTTATTTTGTCTCTAATCGCAGTCCAAATTTCAGGTACTGGCTAACCCAATTCATGGAGTTAATAAAGGGATACCTTGCGAAGGGTGAAATTTCGGAACTACGTGAAGAAATCTCCTGAATGTCCTCATTCAATGCTTCTAACGCCTCCCATTTGCATATAATGATGATATATATAATACAATTATTATCTCTTTGATATGAATCCATTAGCCCAAATTAACTAAGTATAAAATCGATAATAGGTCATGTAAAATTTAGGATCTACGATTGCGTCTGAAATTCAAGAACAAGTTATGCCTTCCATTAAAAAGCTTAAAATTATTGCAGTGCATATGATATTAAGCAAATTGTTTTTGTTTTTAATAGTTGGAAATGTGAACTTAAATTTGGCATGCCTGTAAACCATATAAGTCACTTAGGTGAATATAAAATTGATATACCCAGCATTACTTCCAACCTAATTATGCAGTGCATTGGGAATTATTCCAATAGAACAATATTTCAAAAAAATGCTTAAAGTATTGCACACACTTACCACAGGGGATTCAGGATTCTGAATAGTTTTGATAATATCAAAAGGAACTGCAGCAATAAGGTCAAGAATAAACCATCCACGTATATAATTGAGCGCAATCTCCTTGGAACGGTGAACCACGTGTCCACTCTTGCTGACAAAGGTTGTCCGAAAATTTAGGAGAATATCTATACATATATATTAAAAGTATTTCAAATTTTTGATTTTAAAAAGTGAATAAATGTTGTTAATGTTTGATACACATATTTTTAAAAAAATTATATCACGCATGATGTCTTATTTTTTGAAAAAAATACAAAATTTACATCTAATGAAATTTGACATTAAATCGTGTTTTGACAAAAAATTCCAGGTTATTTTTGTTAGTGCGTTTTAAATAATATAAACCAAGATTATGGAGTAAAGATTAGTGCAAACAATAGGATCCCTGTTTATTGGATGGCTGATTAAATTTGGGATTTAATTGTCTATCAGATTGAAGTTCTACTCGAGCAGATTATTTCTGAAGATTCTACATTTAACAAAGTTATCAAAGCTGCATGAAGTTAGTAAGGAGAGTTGGTTCAATGAAGAACAATAAAACCATCACCTGAACTTGTTTTTGGTGGCAATTGGCATTCCAAGTTCTTAACGTAGAAAGGCAGAGGGAAATAGTATAACTACTGTGAGTTGATAGATTTTATCTCTAAAAAAGTTGAATTAAGCTTTTCAAGGAAAATTTTGCCCACAATTTCCTATCAATGTAAGGCTAATTGAGAGGACAATATCATCTCACCAAGTTGGTTTATAGAAGAGCAAACTTCAATAGCCAAAATTTCCAAATTGGTACCTTATCAATTCTGGACATGTCTTTTAGTTGGCCATGAAGATTCTCAGGGCACAAGGCTTAATAATGAGTGTGCCATGTCATAAATTAATGGATATCTATGGGGATATCTCAACTCGCCGATACTGCAATTGTTGATTATCCGGATAAGAAAAATATCCTTCTCTCTCTCTATGATGCGTCAAGAAGGAGGTAAATTCTCAATAAAATAGTATTAAATTTCATGCACATTATAGGATTACTAATTCAATTCAATTTTAGAACATGAAGTATGCATTAAGTAAATATGCTGTGATAAATAAAGCATGAAAAATTGAAATGGACAAATCAAATGCTCTACCTATAATAAAGAGGACCTCAATAATCATATCAAGTGTTCGAAGGTATCGTTCATTTCCGTCACGATGGAAGGCGGCATTGTAGGGGACCATGATTGCAAAGTAGAATGTGCACAGAACGATTAACCAATCCCAGACAATTTTGAGAATACTGTAATGTAGGAGGATACAACAGGAGGATTTCAGGTCCTGTACCTTGTATTCGGGAATGGAATTTTTCGTTGAGAGGTGTGGAAGCTAAAATGAACGGGCAGGGGCAACGGGTTAATCCCCTGTTTGACAAGGTTTCAAATTAATTATTGCACAAGGAATTATTTTTATTATTTCAAATGGCAGGCTTTATGATATTTATCATTAGCCCTTAAACTTTGTCTTCAGCTTTCCCCATGGGTGGGGGGGGGGCACATATATAACAGTTAATTAATAGCAGTTCATTAGCTGTCTTCTTGCTTTCCAGTATCTCTGACGTTCCGTCGTTGTCTTTAGGACTGAACACCAAATCAGGTGCGTCTTCTCCATTTCCTTCTGAAGGAATTTTACTTGACGAAAGTAAATGACAAAATCAATATACAATTTTAAAACCCATAGTGGAAAAGACACCAATAATTACACTTTAAATAGTTTTCATAATAAGGAAAATCTACTTTCCAAATAGGGTTATTAGTGAAAAAATGACAGTCAATTAAAAAAAGATTATTTTAAAAAACTTTTACCCAAAATGCATTTAGATGGAAATGATGAACTGAGTTCCGTTAATACTCGCCAAGGCCAATATTTTTTTAGTGCAATGATTGATTTATTGATTTTCTTTCAATTATCTAATTAAATAGGGGCCAGAGGCTTATTTATTCCAACTTTTAAAATGATGAATAAAATTGATAAAAATAAACTTAATAAAATGGCAATGCAAAAGTGTATTAAAAATTTATTTTAAATAAAAGTGAAGAGTATCATACGGAAAGATGAAAAGGTCACGAAAGAGGCTCGTTTTAAAATGGCTCGAACTACTAGATGAGTAGTTATCTATAATTATTTTATTTATAATTTGCTTTAAAGCAATTAAACCTTACTTTTGTAGGCATTTATAAAAATGCTTGATTGTTAAGAATAGCATTTGAAATGGATAAATTATACATTGAGATTGACTTAAAGGATTTATTATCAGATTTCTACGTGATTGAGATGGGAGAACAAAAAAATAGTATTTAACGATTTATTAGCATCTTATACAAGCTGAGTTTTATAACTTCGAAACACTTGATGCAATGGCCATACAAAATAACCAATCATTACTGATATAAAAAAGCATTACTTCTCAATATTCTAAAATATTAATTTTAATAAAATTATTTTAGTACCAATGGCACTCGGTTTTTATAGATAATGAACAACAAACATTGATCGTTTTTCAAAGCGTATCCTTACATGTGCAAGACCTCCAGACTAAATAGAATTCCTAGCGTGTACAATTTCAAGAGAATCTGACCAAAAGTGGAGAGGATAGTGAAAATTTAATGCTTGGAACAGAGATTCATACATTGCAGTGGTCCTAAGATTTTGATGATAATCTTATGGAGCTTAGCTTTCAAGTGGAGGTGACGTCCGTAATAATTAATTCAGGTTTTCAAGAAAGTAAATTGATCTCACCCATGTCAATTTTGCCTGATTGCAATCGAAACCACTGGCTCGAATTAACCAAGTTTGAAAGATCAGGTAGTGATCTCGTTTCCACCTTCATGGTGGCATTATTTCATTTCATTTTAAATGATTGAGTTTGGATTACTTTTACTGTCATAGAATAACTTTACATGAATAGTATCAAACAACATTTTATTCTAATAGTTCCTTTTTTGGGAATAATGCAATCACTTCATCTATTGTAAAATATAATGATACTATCTTTCAAACTAATAAGAATGCAAAATTCATTGTTTTATCACAGTCAGCTGACACTAACAATAAATCATAACTGGGCACTCGTAAATGCGCCATAATTCAAAATCTTGTAATTCTTTGAAAAACTTTTTTTATAATCTGTTATTATGAAGGTGATCACCTAGAGAGCAATTCATTTCGTTTGAAACAATGAACATATTCGACCGGAGAAATCAACGTGCTTTTGATGACTCAAGCTATCAATTCACAATTTATATTCCAAATGTATTTATTGAATTTTATAGCTTTATTAAAATTTAGAAAAGTTAAGAAACGTCGTTCAATAGTTATTTGATTCGTTCAAGCTATTGCGTTTCATGATTAAAAAATCGCTTACAGGAGATGAAATAGAATAAAATTTTTAATATTATGTGGGCGTTTAATCAATAAAATAGCCCAATTAGAGATTGTGAGCAGGTGGAAGTATTCAAGCCTCTCACCAAGTAAGTTATATGATATCATTCCATATCCAAGATAATCGTTGAAGGATACTTTTCCAAATCTACTCATGAACTATTGCTTTCCTCAAATAAAATAGAGAGAAAACCCCGAACGCAATAGAAATCCGAATTTATGTCATGTTTACGGATTACATTTAAAAAGCAGAACGAAAATTGATAGACATTGATGGATGCACGAATGAAGGAAAATAGCAGAAAAACGCGCAAAATCCATGCACATTTTTAAAGTAACTACAGATTCTGGTAGCCGCGTCAAATTAATAATTGCAATGAATTTTCGTTACTAATACTTTCAGAAGTGCTCCATAGCACCCGCTGGACAATTGAGTCTCAATATAAGCTCAATAAGTTGACAGAAAGTCCCAATTAATTTTTAAACTAATAACAGCAACAGTGTGCTTATAGTACAGGCAATTTAAATTCTAGTAAAAAATTTTTATAAAGGAAATATTTTTTTACAATTGCGACGGAGAAGGTTTCCATTAATCATAACTAAGTTGAATTGAAATTGAAGAGCGTCAGATTTTATTACCCATTTTATAGCATGGCCGACTAGTCAAAAAATATCTAAATATTGTAGATGCGGATTCATTCAGGAATCTACGAAGGAAATCGTGAAAATAGAGGCGTTGAAATATTTGGAAAATAACGATTGAATGACAAAAATCATAAGATATTCGGTAGCTCATTAATTCCAGAAATCAAATAAGTTAAGAGTTCTGGCATCCTTGTTTATTCCTTTACAAGTGTCGTGTCAAATTCATTGTGGAATGATTTTGCCTCGTCATGTGCCCAGAAGCGTCACTATGATTGACGCATGTACTCATAACAAAAAAACAATAATACCTTGAACATGTATACGTATCTTGGCTAACGGCATATTAACGCGGTATTGGGGGTAGTGTTGGGGGGTGGGGTGGGGTTGGGAAGGGACAATATTGGAATGTGTTTTAGAACGCACCTTATATCCTACGCAAGAAGACGCTGGCCAAAATGACCCTCTTGGACAAACCACGGCAGATTCATATACTTTATCCTTCAACCTCGTATGAAGATCCCCCCCCCCTAATAATAATAGTGATTTAAATTACTGCAAGATGAATTGTCTCTAGACTTTCCAAAGCTTTAGTTTTTTGCAGTGACAGAAATTCAGTTGGCATAAAATGACATTTCCCGTTCGAAGTCATCTTAAAGATTCTCTGGAAAGCTCTGCCTTATTCATAAGGCCTTATTAATTACTTGTTTTAACTAACAGAGCTGAAATATATTTAACTTTCTTAATCAACTATTTAAGTTAGTCAATGGAAAACCCAGTGTTTGGTTTATGAAACTTGAGCGTTGGAAGGTCAAAACAACGTGGTTAAAAAGCAACTATGATCTGCTGTCATAATAATAAGAAAACATAGAAAATTGTGGAATTGCACAAGGGGGTAAGTTGATTAACATTGAAGACACAGCTATATTCACTTGCTGTAGATAACCTCTCTGCTATCAAAAGAGGAATGATAGAATTTAGGCCCCCTTTTATGCTCTCAATGTGATATTTCGCCTCCTCTATTTGCTCTGGAAGATTCGCTGCAGCATGACAGAATTGGCAGTAAGAGAAAAGCATAAAAGATGGCTCACCACACATTTGAGATTGAGCTTGCCAGGTTTGTGTTTCTTGTCAAATCGACCTGAGAGGTGGTAGAGCACGGCTCTACTTCGCCGCCGTTGATATTTAAATGTGGAGGAAGTTTCCTCATTTTCAGAATCAGAAGATTTGGAAGAAGAAGATGAGGACGATGAGGTGTCAGTTTTTGAGGTAGCCTGCGTCTCAGACTTCTTTGAGAGGAAATGATTTATTGGACTCTGTGTGGGAAGAGCCAAAGGTGAGGTTGGTGAAAGAGACTGAGGTGATTGAATGAAGCTTTCCGGGTTAAATGCGCCAGGTAGTGAACTCAATTCTTTCGGCTTCACTGGGGACTCACGGGGAATGCCGTATTCAGAACCGAAGCGGACCCGAACTCTTTTATTAGGTACTGTATGAGGCGCGGACGCTCTCCTACTACTCAAAGCTGAAGGCATAGTGTGACAAGTAGTGATTGGCGCTGATGGATGCCCTCGGCGTATAGGCACTACTCGATGAGGAATTTGATTGCCAGAAGGAATTTCCAATTGTGGTTGTCGCTTAGCAACCAAGGCTGCTGGACCCAAAGTTGATGCAAGACCGCAGGAGAGTAGACTTGCCCCGATTCCTTTTTTAAAAGATAGCAAACTTGAAAAGAATACATTTGTGGGAAAAGAATGCAAACAGTGTATTGGGGAATGGACAATCCTTAAATAGCCCTGAAGAAATCAAAATGAGCCTCACTTCATTTGGCGCCTTTGAGCTTTTTGCATTTGGTTTGATAAAATTATGAATACCTTACACTCCTATTGAATACATTCATCATAAGAACAATTTTTTAAGGTTATTAAATGATTTCAGCAAAATGAATGCGTAATTTTTAACACCTGATAAATGAAAGAGTTACCAGTTGCCTTCTGAGCAGTTAGATCCTTGTGAGATACCAGAAAGAGGACAACTTGACCCTTCTCGTTTTTGATTGGTACTATATCCAGGAGGCAATTGAAAGAAATTCCTAAAAGGTGACAAAAAATGGGGAGGAATTTCAGTGGTAGCTTGTTCAGAATGTGCTTAAATTTATGAATTTAAAGTGAAACTAGTTGATCAAATTCCATTTACTTCATTGGGGGGGGGGGTTCAAATATAAATCTTTAAACTATGTCAAACCACCTTGCGGGTTCTTTTAGTGTTGATTAAGATGGAAGACAGTGACCTCGTTGACGATGTGTTTTCGCTTCTCGTGTCAAAAAGTTGGTTGCCACCTGATCTGGCCAAATTTTTTTGACGAACTGTAAGCTTCACTCAGGCCCACTAAATTCCGTTCCTATTTCATGATTTGTCAGACATTGTGTTAGTCTTGTTAACGCCTTGTTTATTAAATCTTTGGAGGCGCCAATTTGTCAATTAATTCTCTATGGTAAGAGCTTGAGTCCACAGTAAATCTAGTGACTCATTTCTTGAAATATGAGCTAAGTGGGATGATTTTGCAACTACATTTCATGGTTCAAATGTCTTTGATCGGGGGTGCACAATAGCTTACCTCCACGTGGTGCACCCTGGGCAATGTATACTTATACAGCAAAAAGGTCTATTGATCGGCAGTTGACTTATGACTTCAAACTACTATGGCCCGACTATATGTCATACTCAACCCCTTTCACAGTACTCATCTTACCTTTTTATGCCTTTGTGTCTGTCTGTCTGTCTCTTTTACATCTGTGAATCACTCTTCTGTTCCCCCTCTCGACTTTTTGTCACTTTGATGTCAGCTCCAGGGCTAATGATAACTATCAAAACGCCTGCCATTTGATATAAATAAAATAAATAAATGTCTTTGATCGTCCCCTCT